AGTATCTCTGGATTTATTTCTCTAGTCAACCTGGTTTAATACAGAGCCCAGCTATTAATTTTTTTTTAATAATCTAGTGAGAGCTGATTGAATTCTTGAATGAGAAAATTACTTTTTACTGGTATTAAGGAGCGATGATGACTAATTGCAAACTACTTTTTCCCCTGGGTACAGATGTGTCAAGCTGTTAGAACCAAAGTTCACTGATCTTTGACTAGATTACTGAATCTAGAGAGTAGGTCTGACTTACGGGGTTTTCAAAGTCTAAATTACTACAATCTTATGGAAGGTCGATTCTTAGCATCATATGCTTATCAAATGAAAATTCTGTGTGTTCCTATAAAATAAACTAGAAATTATATTTTTTCTAAAATTCAAGACCCAACACAATTTATGTTCTTGAAAGGTACTGGTTCATTTTTGAAGTCTTTCTGACATTCCATAAAATTCTGATCCATCTAACGACTGTTGTTTTATGTTGGGCAGTATTCTGGTAAACTTGGTGTAAAGTTTCAATGTTTGGGGACGATGTCTCCTTGGGTCTTGTTACACATTTGATATTAGCTCTAACTTCCAGATGGTTTTTATCCATAGCATAAAAGTGTCTTTCATGTCTCAGGTATCCTGAGACTCAGACAGTGTACCATTGAGAGAACTCGCCTGCAGCCATCTGCTGACTGTGGAGACAATGCGTTTAGATGGCGAGAAGCTAACAAACAAATATGTATGAACTGGAAACCCAGTAGCAATCCATTTTGACTTTGTAGTAAACATTCTCATTCCCACTGAGTGGATTCTGACTCAGAGTTCCTGAGGTGGCAAAGCTTCACGGGAGCAGATAACTTTCGCCTTCTTCTGTGAAGTGGCTGGTGGGTTTGAGCTGCTGACCTTCCGATCAGCTGACCTTCCGATCAGCAGTCCAACAGAACCAACAGCACCACCAGGCTACTTCTGTGAGCTACTACTCATGCTTAATTCCCCTTTGACAGGTGACAAATGAGCAGTATCACCAAGACTTCTCCCCACCTCTCACTGGTTTTCTTGCCTACAACGTGTACAATCCCACTTCTAAAGCTCCTGGGATTTGAGGATACCCTGTGGTGTGTAGTGGTTTTACAGTTTCTCTCTCACCCCTGACAACCAACGGAGAGAAAAAAGGAGAAATGGATTTTCTCCTAAGACTCGTCACCATGGCAACATGATATCCAAATACATGAAAGACTGTTGTATTTCTGTGTTCAAATGGAATTGCAAGCACCAAGTACAGGCAGTACTAGGAATAGAATTTGAAATCAGATTCTAGGGTGGCTGATGTTTGTTTTCATTGCAAATCTTATTAAACAATCTAATGTTGATTTTTGGTTTATTTTTGCCTCTTAGCCTTGATGTGAGCTCTTTGGTTCCACTTGGGCATAACTTGGCCAGAGTTTTGTAGATGGTTTTAACATCACCCGAAAGCAGGCCAGGCTTTCTCTGCCGGCTAATGGACTGCCTGGGAAGGATGGTTTACCAGGGACTGTACACCAAGTATGCTATCCATTCTTCTATTTTGCGGAGACAATTAGTTGCCAGTATTACTCTTAATAGTCCATAAACTAGGCTGGGCTACACACCCTATCTGGTGGGTTTCTAGAGAAAAGCATGTAATGTGGGGTAAAGAGATAAAGTTGCTGACTCCAAGTTACAATGCCACTCGTTATTTCTTTGAAGCTATTTCTGGAAACCAGCTGCTGCCAATGCGAGTGGGTTCTGGTGCACAGGAACGGTAGAAGGCTGAGCAGAGCTGTGCCTCGGGGTTTTCAAGGCGGTCAACCTTTTAAAGAAGCAGACAGCCTCATCTCTTTTCTAGGGAGCAGCAGTGGGCTTTTGTACCGCAGCTGTGGTTAACCTACTGTGCCGCCAGGGCCCTTATTCTGGACATAGGAGGTTAACGTGTGAGAATGCTGAAAGTCAAGTCCCAACGTGTGTTACGCGCAACTGGAGAGTTGATTAGAAATAAGGTTGGCTTTCAGCATAGATTCTTAGGCCACTTGGAGATAGGTTCACCGTCCTCTCCCTCCCTATAGGCATTCAATTTACTTGGACTACTAACTGAAAGGCCGCCGGTTCAAACATACCAGTCACTCTGCTTCAGAAAAATGAGGCTGTTTGCTCCTGTCCAGATCTGTGGTTTGGGCTCCTACACATTGAGAACATCCTTGGTGGTGCCAGGGGTTAGGCGCTGGCTGCTAACTGACGTCATGTTTGGTGAGTCGGAGTCAATGAGAAAGAGGAAGACCCTTAGCGGATCAACACAGTGGCTGCCACAATGGGTTGCTTACAGTGCTGCGTAGGGTTGTGAGTGGAGTTGACTCACACAACAGGTGCTTTGAAAGAGTAGTTAGGGCAACCAACAGCCACAAATACAGAAGACCGACATTGTAACAGAGGTTGAGACAGACTATTTGGACATCAAATGAGACCCAGGCTTCCTATTGGTGACCCCACACGTCAGCAGCTTAGGATCACACCTAGTCTGGTCCCTGTCCTCACAGAAGCCACAGCTCTATCAGCCAACACAGAAGATGGGCTCTTCTGTTTAAAGTTTAAAAAAATAACTGATTCTTCTCTCTTTATGCATCTTTCCTGGCAAACTATCCCAATACAATTGTTATGTACTATGAGTGGGTACCCAAATAAAATTGGAATTATTTTTTTCAAAGCTAATTAAATTTTTTAACAAAACCACCTTATCACCTTTAAAGTACCCCCCATTACACTTAATACATTTGTCAAATCTGCGATTCCATTCTTGGAAACATTTTTCAAACTCATCTGTTCGGATGACTGATAGCACCTTCCCCCCACACCCCCCCCTTTAGGCTCATCTAAGCCTTCAAATCGCTTCCCTTTCATGTCCCTCTTTATTCACAGAAACAAAAAGAAGTTGCATGGAGCAAGGTCAGGTGAGTTAGGTGCGTGGGGCAAGAGAGGGATGTTGTTTTTTGCCAAAAACCAGTGCACTAAGAAGGCTACGTGAGCCAGTGCATTGTTGTGGCAAAACCAGTCCCTCCTCTGCCCCCAGTTAGGCCTGTTTTTGGTCACACACAATCGTTTTAGAACCTCTAAATAGAAAGCTTCATTAACAGTCTGACCTGGTGTAATGAACTCCAAGCATACTATCTCCCTCACATCAAAGAAACAAATGAGTATCGTCTTGATCTTTGATTTCATTTGACAAGCTCTTTTTGGGTGAGGTGATGATGGCATCTTCCACTGGCTTGATTGATGTTTGCTTCTGGGGTCCTAAGAATAGCACCATGTCTTGTCACCAGTAATGACCTTGGAAAAACATCTGGGTCACTTCAGAGCTGTTCTTTTCAAAG